AATTTGAGAGATGTGTTGTGGAAAGATTTTGGGGCGAAAACAAATTTGAGAGAGAGAGAGAAGCTAGGGTTTGCTGCTGTGCTCCATATGGGATAAATAAATGTAATATTTTGGCAAAAGCAAGGAAAGACTATCCGCAAAAGACTCGGCATTCAGGCGATCTGCCCGGGCGCTGAAAGCCTCTTCTTCAACTCCCGTAAATGAATCAGGTCCTCCAAGAGCTGTGAATTCTCTTCTATAAAATCCCATCTGAGATAGTCGTAGGCCTTTTCAAGGTCGACTTAGCTGCAGCGATCACGGCCTGCGGCTAGCCGGCTAACTCTTCTGTGGCTTTCGCGCGTCTTGCTCAATCCCTTGCTTGTTTGAAGTCAAAGAGTGAAAAAGGAAAGGTGTAATTGAGAAACTCTCATGGCAGAGTGGATGGCAGGAATGGTTACCGGAAATGGAGGTGCTGAGGTTGGCCACGGAACGCCCTCCTGAGTCAAAGGGGGAGTTTTTGAACCTTGTTTAGTTTGACTCTGCTAGCTCAGAAACTGGAGGAGTGTCGGTAAAGGAAAATGTGGCTAATGCTAGAAAGTGTCAGATTTTGAATGGCGAAAGCACAAAAAGCTGTGGCATGCGAAGTCAAGATTTGGGGAAGCGAAGTCATATAAATTCGGACACTTGTCGGGTCAGCCGTGACACCGTACAGGTACTGACACACGCAAGGACCCCGAACTTCCAGCGAGAAGCACCAGTAAAAAAGATGTCCCGATCGAACGAACCAGTAACGTCCTTAAAGACAGGGTCGCGTGGGCAATTCCTGAATATCGATAGAATGTTGATTAATATTCAGGAAGAGATCGAGGTTTTTTTCCTTTGTCAACACAGGACTCGGAGCCCCCTGCTCAAACAAAATTTTTCAGCGGATTTTCTGGCAAACTTGGCGACGTCCTTGCCGACGGGCCGCCATTGGCTTCACTGAAACCTTGAAGGCCATGAATAACCACCATGCCGTTGTTGAACATATGTATAACTCAATGTAGAATCATCAGTAGAAAAAATACAAAAGAAAGTAGAGGGGAGACATTTTCCGGCAAAATTTAAAAAATGGTTCACTATGTTGATCATTTTTGGAGAAAGGTTCATCATCTAGGGTGTCATCAATAATAGTCCATTAAATTGTCATTGTAATCAAAATTCGTACAATGACCAACATAGTGTACTAAAAGTGATCATTTTTAGTTGTCATATTTAGTACACTATATTGATTTTTGTACGACTTTTTATTCAAATGACAACTTAATGGACCATTCCTGAAGACACCCTATATGATGGACTATTTTCAGAAAATGACCAACATAGTGTATTAAAATAAAATTTAGCCGCATTTTCTAATTTTCTTATAACTAATAATAGTATGTTATGTTTTAATTTGTATTATTATTGAGACATCATCCCAAAATTGGTACGTTATTTTTTGTGATTAATGTCTAAAAGATGGTACAAGGTGCAACATAAACTACTTTTTCGACTTGACGGCCGCAACCTCCACCAGTTCCTGTACGTGTTCTCGTTTTTATTTTTCTTTTCTTTTCTTAGTTTTCGTTGCAAAACCTATTCATGTTGTGCCATGTTTTAAATGTACGGTGAATTTCATTACCAAAATTCTCGATTTTTAAGAAGAATAAGGGCTAAAATACACAACTTTGGGAAAAGAAAGTGTAAAAAACGAATTTTTATGGCTTGATGTGTTCTGTTTGTATTTGGATCTTTGGGCTTTTCAAACGCTATCACTCGTGTTGTTATTGTTACAGTTTCAATTTTCAAATTTTAGTGACTTTTTTGGTCTCTTTGTGTATGTCTGTCTTTGTGTTACAGTGAAACTGTGTTACAGTGAAAAGGAAGGGCTTTTTTGGGTTTTGTAGTTTCACTGTTTTGTATCTTTATTTGGTTGTTTTCAAATTTTCTGTTATGAAGTTGTGATTTGATGAGTGGTTGTGTAGTTTGTGGCCTTTATCTTTAACTCTAGTTAAACTTGCATGTCCTATAGAAAATCCAATGTTTATGTCCCATTAATATTATTGTTCAATCTATTCATGCTTTAGGCAGTTTTTGTACAAACTTAATAGTATTTTGTCACCAAGTAACTTAATTAATTTCCTAGAAACTAGTAGTGTTTGTTAAATAAAAGTCGAAGATGACATAAAAGTTCAAATATATTTTTCCTTTGAACATATGTGCATGAGTTTAAAATAAAAAAAAAATATGTATGTTCAACTTATTACCCCAACTTTAATTGAACCACTGTTCTTAAACTCCCCGATCAAGTATATAATCATAGTTTCAAAATGTTGCCACCATCCTCACCACTAGACTAATCTCTGCTTCTCCATTTGTAATTTGCAAAAGCCTCAACCAAATAAAAAAAAAAAGTTATATGTAATCACTCACTACAAAATTTACTTTGGTTTTCTTTCTGTGAGCAAATGGATCTGTATATTTTTCAGAATGATATCATGGAGCTCTTAACAAATCAAAAACTTTGTGTATCTATAGTACAATTCTTTAATATGTTTTTGACTATTTTTTCTGTTGATCGCTCTTTAATTATGAAATTAGATATTATTTGTTAATTATTTATCTTCTATCGTTTACAAGTACTTACACAAAATATTGAAAGAATCAGAGAGGGCAAATATGCATTGATTTCACGGTTAAAAGAGTACTAATCAAGATCTACTCACATTAGTCTCATTTTTTTTTTTTCCTTTTTTTTTTCGCTTTCTGAACCGAAACAAACACGTTTTTAAGGTACGGGAAGAAGTCCTTTTGCAGTTGAAGATCCAAACGTCGATCGGCGGGGAATCTACGGCGGACTTCGACGGCTAAGAGAGAGAAAAAGATGCACGGAAGGCCTAGGAAAGCTCTAAATGAGGAAGAGCAAAGTGCTTCATCTCTTAAAGCTGCCAAGCTTCGCGATCTCCAATCCCAAGTCCTTCACTTTCACCACAACAAAATGTCTCTAGTTTTTTATTATTTCTATTAATTTTTCCGATCTATGTGCGAAATCTGGCTTCTTGTTGATTGAGATGTGCTGTTTAGAGGTTTAATTTGCTCGAATCTGTATGCTGCAGTTACACGGGAGAAGCTATTGAAATCAGCGCGAAGCTATTAGAGTCAAATCCAGAGCACTATACTGGTTGGAACTACCGGAAACTCGCCGTGCAGCATCTTATCGACCAGCGGTCCGAGGGCGGAGCCGACTCTGAGTCAATCCAATCGATTTTGGATGAAGAATTGAGAGTTGTACGCCTTTTTGTTTTTTACTGTTTTATACACTTTTTGCATTTCCACTTAAGGGAAAAGGAAAAATGATGCTACCATCAAATTGGTTTTCTGGCGTGGATTTTGAGTAGATGGCTGATGAAAAAATGATGCTACCATCAAATTGGTTTTCTGGCGTGGATTTTGAGTAGATGGCTGATGAAATGGTTAGAGTGTGATTTTTTTTTTTTTTTTTTTTTTTTTTTTTTTTTTTTTTCTTCATTTTAGGTGGAGAATGCATTGAAGAGGAACTTTAAGTCTTATGGGGCTTGGCATCACCGAAAATGGGTGTTGAGCAAAGGTCATTCGTCCACGGACAGGGAATTGCGGCTTCTCGGAAGGTTCCAGAAGCTGGATGCCCGTAATTTTCACGCCTGGAACTACAGGAGGTGAAGTGCTAAGACATTTCATGTCAAACGAGTGAGTTGTGCGGTAGCATCTGTTGACATGGTCTTTTTCGGGGGGTTGTTCTTGCAGGTTCATAACAGCATTGAAGAAGATTCCGGATGAAGAGGAACTTAAATACACGACTGATATGATATACGATAATTTTAGTAACTATTCAGCCTGGCACAATCGAAGGTATGCCGAAAGTTGCAAGTTCAGTTTCAATCGGCTTGCATATATTCAAATGGCCGGTGATCTATAATCTAGCTTCGTGTCTTGGAAAATAGTTTTAGTTTATTGATGTCTGTAGTTATCAGACGATTAGTTAGCACTAATCTAGTGGCTCACATTGAAATAGAATAAACTTATGGCATTCTAAAGGTGGCATGAATTGGAGAATGTGAATGTTTTTTAATATTTTACTTAGTAAAATAAAATCCTGTGTTCGGAGTCGACTTCGCACCTGTCATATTCTTGATACAAGACTACATTTTCTTGCGTAGTTTTTTTCTCTAGGTGATTTTAGCGAGCTAGAAGTTGGATTGTTAATATTCTCCCATTTTTACTTTGCAGCATTCTTCTGTCTAATCTACTAGAGAAAGGAGGAGAGGATTATGATGATAAGGGGAATGTGTTGGGAGAGGAGTATGAGTTTGTACGAAATGCCCTGTTCACAGATCCCGATGATCAAAGTGGTTGGTTCTATCATCTATGGCTTCTGGATCAGACGTTGAAGCGGGAATCCACATTTCTTTCTTCTTGGCCTCCCCATGGCTCAAACTTATCTGTATCAATTGATTGTTCCAAAGAAAAAATATTTCCGCTTGTTTTATATTTTAGTGATGCAGTGAAAGGTGTAAGCTCATCTACAGTAACTATTGAGCATCACGTGGCGGACAATTTTTCCTGGAGACCACTGGCCGTGACTAATTATGGTTTTTCTCGAGCCTGGTTTACTTATCTTAAGTTTCCTGATGAAATGCATTTTTCAGAGGCTTTACGTGTAAAGGTTACAGTTGCAAGTTCTCCCGGTATTACTTCCTCTGGTGGTTTGCCCTGTAATCAGTCTCATCATGTATCTTTCTCTGTCTGTTTACCTTCTGATGACCAAAAGCATTCTGAGATGAAAACAATAGATCGAATATCATGGAAAGAGGAACACTTTAAGGCCCTTGCTCCTGAATCTCAAGAGGTAAACTTGCCCGACTTGATTTCAGAATTGGAAATCAATGAGCAGAACAAAGAAAAGACTCCTACGTTGAGTGTGGAGACTATATCTGGTGAAATAGATCACTGCCGGGAACTGTTGTCAACAACAAACTGGTAAGCTACGTTCGCCTCAAAGAATAATATGATAACTTATAGAAGCTTATTGTTTTAGCAAGTCTTTTTCTTATTTCTTTTTCCTTTTATTGTAGTAAAATTGGGAAACTTACTCTTGCTAGACTCTTGATGGCATATAACACATTGGTGTTATTCAGAAGCACTGATGATGGAATCCAGACCGGTTATGAAGATATTCTCGCCCTTTATCAAGATTTAATGAAATTGGATCCTGCACATATTTGTTACTATGAGGATGAGTACAGTTTGGTTTTATTTAAGCAGGTAAATACCTCTTGCTTGGTCTTCTTTCTGGGAATACAGCAGAAGCATTGGTCATGTCACCCATTGTTAGGGTGCCCTAAATGTTCAATGGGTATTGTTGCCCAGTTAATCTGGAATTAAATTAAAAACTATGAGCGATAACACGAGATATGTAGGATCCTGTTACAGTCTTGACATAGATGTTTGACAATGAGTGTCTTCAGCGTACATTATATATCCTCAGTCTTATTTAGCTTTAGGTTATTTGAAATTTGACTGTTTGGTAGAAGTCATAACTCTTTTAGTCTCAGTAAATCAAATGTCCAGTTTGTTGCTAACTTGCTATCACCTTAAGGCACTAACAGTTCCTAATAATTAGGATTATTTAAGTTCAGGAACAATGGAAACTAATTTGTAAATGAGTTGTGAATGCCATGTGCAACACGAAAAGGCCTCCATTGTGGACAGAAGAATGATAATGGCCATTGGCCGATATGATTACTCTTCTAACTTTTTTAACATTTTAAGGAAGATTAATGAAGTCTATTATATTGTTTGAGAAGTCTCATTAGTGACAACATTCTTGACTTTGAGAATAAACTCTGGATGTCTTTACTTAATACTCTCTGCCCGAAATGCCGAGATTGCAATTCACCATGCTTATAAGCGGTTCTTTTTCTTTTTTCGTATATCTTTGGTGCTTGAAATACTCTATATAGTCTTTTTATATCCTTTGGTGTTGTTTCCTTTATGGGTCACCACTTCGCCTCACATTTCTTCTTCTAAAAGAAACAACAACCTTTTGTACTAATTATAAATTTGTTTAATTATTATTCTACAGCTGACATCGGATAAAGCCTCTTTACTGAAGCACTGCTATCAATACGACGAGCCTCTTTTATCAGGTGTAAAGCCTTATTTGTGCGCTCGGCTGAATGGTCTCTCATTATCACGAATCGGCAGTATGGAGCACTTACTGTGGGTTCAAATGTTAGATCTCAGCCACAACAAGCTTCGTTCAATTGAAGGTATGCTATGCTGCACAGTTCTCTTAAAAAAAAATATATATATATATATAAATATATTTTGACGAAATTATTTTCTGATACTGTTTGCATGATCCAGATTAATCGAGTTTCTGTACCTTTCCGAGCATAATCAGATTGGTTTTGCGATCTAACTTTTGGCAATATTTCAGTGTATTATTTGTTGAGGGGAACTAGTGATTGTTGAAAATGCGAAGATTTACTGCAATTATTTTAAACGCCAAATGTCAAGATCTTATTCTGACTAGTGCATTTGCTTTCTGATTGCATTTTTACTTTCCCATATTTGTCTCGACTTGAAATTTTCGAGCAGGTTTGGAGGCTCTGCAGCTGTTATCCTGCTTGAAGCTTAGTCACAACAGAATCTGCAGTTTTACGGCTTTAGAGCCCTTGAAAATGCTAAAGTATCTAAAAGTACTCGACATATCGCACAACGAGATTGGTGCACACTCTATAGACACGAGAAGATACTTGTGTTCGTCTCCCCTCAATCACGCAGTTGGAGTTGACTGTAATTGCGAAAAATTTGCCGAAGGAGATATTCAGGTGAAGGACTACTGGGATGCATACCTACTTTTCAAGGACTTGAATTTGGTCCAATTAGAGATTGCAGGAAATGCAGTTGTTGATGACCGGTTGAAAGCTTTTCTATCAAAGTTGATCCCTCGACTCGAGTGGCTCAACAGTGAGAAAAGCCATTAGGATTTCTTGTGAGTCCATTTAACAGTTAGATGCATCATATATTTTTTTTTTAACAAAAATATATATTGTTACTATATAATGCCATAGTTTTACTTAAGTTATTTTGTTAAAAAATATGACTGTCCAACCTTTAGTAATTAGTATTTCCTAACAGTGAATATAATTCTACACATGAAATTAAAAATAAAAAATATTATAAAATTTTATCATACATTTGTAAAGGTTTTTAGAAGGTTTTGTGTTATTTTTATTTTATAAGCTCAGTCAAATTGTTGTTATTATTGAAATCTGAAGCTCACTATTAACATTGTGCAAATAACTTGAACAAAACTACAATATGCAAACATATTCTGCGGATAAATTATGAAAAAAAAAAAAAAAAATTCACAATCATAAATAAAAGTCTTTAATCAGCCCTTAAACAGTGCCTCTTTAGCTGCTTGCAAGAGAATTTTCCTTCCCTCTCCAAACTGCCAACACCTCATCTGTTCTGAACCTTTGGGTAAAAGTAGATTCCTCGAGAGAAGTTGTTATGCCGTGAGCATAGGCAAGCAAGCCCGTATAAGCAATCATTGCCCCATTGTCAATGCAATACCGATCATCAGTAGCAAATAATTTCCCACCCCTTTCGCCGCACATAGTGCACATCATCTCCTGTAAACGCTCATTGCAACCCACGCCCCCAACAATCAACACATCCTTCGCATCACAATGAGCCATGGCTCGTTCGGTGATCTCCACAAGCATTGCAAATAAGGTTTCCTAAAAGG